TGCACATACATGCAAAAGCACTTGGGTGAACAGGGGAGAACCGTCATGTGATCAGAAAAACTGGAAAATGCCAAATCTAAGGTTTGGACTCCTTGGTCCAAGTGCTGTCTATCAACACCTATTGGCCAGGCCCTAATCTTGTCTCTGATGGACCATGATTTGGGGCACTGTATTTAATGAGCCTTAGATTCTTCCCCTACAGTCACACCTCCTTCTAGGTTTTAGGTGGGAAATGCAACCATCAATGAAGGAAATACTTGGTAGACTATTTTCTATGAGCCTCTGGATGAGTAACTTGAGAGCAACGGCTAAGTCATTGTGGACAGACAAGACTGGTAAGGTTGGTGGTGTCTCCATGACGACAGGACAGTTTGAAGTCTAGCACGAGGATGCACTGCAGTCTTTGGGGAAGGCTTCTAACACTAAGTCTCACAGTTTGCTGAGGTTAGCCCACTGGAATACATTTTTGTCAAGGCAGACGTGCCACAAAGTTTGACCAATTGCTTTGAGCTCTGTCCTGCACTGGCCTGGACACGTGATATTTCTAACACTTGCTATAGGGAAATGCCATGACAAATAGGGTTAGCACCCCCGCCACCTCCCCCTTCCTGTGTGTGTGAGAGAGAGACAGAACAAATATAAAACAATTATTTTTACAGAGCCCAGAGAGAAGTCCAAAAACTGGAGTGAAAGGCAAATGAACTGCCTAACTGCGAATCCCTTGCTTTGCATTTCTGTACCTTGCACACGCCCTGCAGGATGGAGGCCTTGGTCTATACACAGGAGGTTTCTGTGTCTCCTGCAGGAGCAGAGGGAAAGGGAGACAGCCCAAATGATGGCGATAGGAAAACAGCAGCTCACAGCTCTTCCTCAGAAGGTGTTTTATGGTCTGCAGCATGAAGAAAATGGAAAACATTAGAAAGCCAAGGCAAGCCTTGCACAAGTCTCTTGTTCGTTGTAGGGCTGTTCTGACTTATGGGAACAGAGTGGAACTCTGGCTGTTTTTGCATAAACAAAGTCTTGCAAGGTTTTAGACAGGTGCTGCTTAACTTCTCTCAACTAAAGAGAAACTAGATCCACCTGGGAAGAGAAACCCTCAACTGAAGAATTGCCTCCATTAGATTGGCCTGCACACTTTGGGGGGGCATTTTCTTGACTGATGACTGAATCAGGAGGGACCAGCTCACTGTGGGAGGTGACAGCCCTGACCTGTCACCTGGGCTGTATAAAAAAGGAAGCTGAGCAGCTGTGGGTTAGCAAGCCAGTAAGCTTCCTGACTCCAGGCTCCTGCCTTGAGTTCCTCCCGACATCCCTCAGTGATGGACTGTAAGCTGTAAGATGAACTCTTTCCTCCCTAGTTGATTTTGATCAGTGTTTTATTACAGCAACAGACTCTAGACTAGAACAGCCATGAAGAGAGGAACGAGTTCCCACAGGTAAAGCCAAATCCTGGTTTCATGCAGGTGTTTGCCTTTGAGTGTGGGGGCCTGAGGTCATCATCAGATGTCTTCCTTAATCACTCTGTACCTTATTTTTCTGAGACAGGAGCACTCCACGAACCTGTAGCTTATAGATGCAGCTAGGCTGGCAGGCCAGCAAGCCCCAGAGATCCTCCTGTCTCTGCCTCCCCAGTGCTAGGAAGCCAAGGCTGCCTAGAGTCTTGGTGATTTCTGTGGGTCTATATTTGGTCCTTGGTTTTTGGGGACCCAAAAGTTCACTGATTTTCAGCATTCTAGCATTGATTAGTGCCATCCTAAATCCTGGACAAGGGCCAATGAGATGGCTCAGCTGGTAAGGGCCCTTGCTGCCAAGTCTGATGATATGAACTTGATCCCTAGGACCCACATTATGGAAGGAAGAGCACACTGGTCTTCTGGCTTGTACACACAGGCCCTGACACTCTCTCACATGAAAGAATGAAATGATATAAATCCTGTAGTAGCAACTAGCAGGTAAAACTCGCCTCACCATCAAGTCTGAATTCTCGGGCTTCTTGTGAGTATAGCCCATGCTTCCGACCTGCTGCCTGAGGCTCTACCTACCTCAGCTTCCTTCCGTCCCGCTCCCCTTTCTTGGCACCAGACCTAAATCCAGACCTCAGTCTTTCCTGGCTTAGGCTTCTTTTTGTTTCTCTTTTTGCTTCCTGCTCTTGCCAGTAAACACCTCACACTTCATTCTGTCTTGCTGGTTGTGGAAGGGCTCACTCTGACAAAGATGGCCTCATACCAGCTAGAGCCTTGGAAGGATTTTAGAGACCCTCAATTCTCCAGAGCGTGGGCAAGGTATCAGATGGGCAAAGAACCACCAAGGCTCAACTTCCCTACTTTTAATATGCTCCTGTGTTCAATAATAAGCTAACAGCCATGTCTTCCTTGTAGTTCATCTATAATGCCTTGCTTTATAGATTGCACCAACCCCTATCCTCCGAGTAAAATTCAGTGCTGGGACTCTTTCCTTCTAGAGAAAAAATAACCCACTCTTAAAAGAGACCATGAAGCCAAAAGTAGAATCATCATAAAGATAGGAGTAACTTGTACCTGAGTCAACAAAGGTGACTGACATCACTTTTAAAGTGTCCCCTGGTGAAAGGTCTTGCCTTTGCTTCAGTCCCGAAGATGGAATCCTTGTCATCTGGAGTGAGAAGTAGCTGCTCATCAAAGACATGCTCACCCCAAGGCAGCCTCTCTGAGCAAGGCGCCCTTGGAGAGCTGCAGAGTGGCCCGTCCCTGAGTTCTGTCAGCTTGACCGAGTAACAGAATCACCTGTGCAGACGGAGCTCTTCAGACCCCACAGGCTGTTCCTACAGAAGCAGGCTTGAGCACTCATGGGCCTTGACTACCTGACCTGGGACACTGAGTTCTCTAGGATGTCACATGGTCAGGGACTCTAGGTCCCATTAGAAAGCTTGGACTGAAACACAAAACAAATACATTTGGGCGACATGAAGGATTAAAAAACATGTTTATTTATTTAACGTATTTTAATTTGACATAAAATAAGTATTTATTTTTATACTATTTATTAGGAGTGGGGACACAGTCCCTGGTAAAGCACCTGCACAGCATGCTCGAGGCCCAGGCTTCACTCTCAACAACACAAGCAGCACACAGAGCATTTTTCTGATATCTTTCTCAATAACTGATAAATTACTAAAGTATTGGCCAAGGGCCAATGACACAGCTCAGTGGGTAAAGGCTCTTGTTTGTGTGAGCCTGGGTACCTGAAATTGATCACTAGAATCTATATATTAGATGAATAATTTATCTTTTAAATATTGTGTTGTTAAATTTTATTTTTGGATTGGGTGTGGTGGCTCATACCTTTAATCTCAGCACTAGGGAGGCAGAGGCAGATCTCTGTGAGCTCAAGACCAGCCTGGTTTACATAGGGAGGGCTAGGACAGCTACAAATATACAGAGAGATCCTGTCTCAAAAAACAATAAAGGGGCCAAGTGGTAGCAGCTCACACCTTTAATCCCAGCACATAGGAGGTAGGGGCAGGTGAACCTCTGTGCATTCTAGGCCAGCCTGGTCTACAGAGTGATTTCCAGGACAACTAAGATTGTTACACAGAGAAACCCTGTCTCAAAAAACAAAACAAACAAAAAACCAAAACCAAAAACCAAAACTAATTTAATGTGATGTATATGAGTATTTGTCTCCATGCATATATGCCTGTTCCCTGTGAAGGCCAGAAGAAGACATTGGATTGAACTTGTGATTCTGTCTCCGCATCCTAAATTCTACAATAGCGGATGTGTACCACCATACTGGGATCCTTGCCTTCACCTTGAATGGTGGTGAGGTTTTTTTTTTTAAGAGTTCTTTCTCATCTTGTCTATGCGTATGCCAGATCCAATGACCACAGGCATTCGGGACTCATCGCTCACACGCCTCTCTCCTGAAAATGGTCCTTCTGAAGACATCGCTCCAATGGAAACAAACTATAAAATAAGTACAGCAGGCTTGTGCAGATGGTGAGGGTTGTAAGAAGGGCCTTGGGCTGTTGCCGCTGCGCACAGAAAGAGCTCAGGGCATTCAGGCAGCTCAGTTTTTGCTTCAGGAGGACCTGAATGTCTGGAACCAGACCCCAAGAATAAAAGCCAGAGTAGCCCAGCTGTTCACTCACAGCAGGGTATGCTGGGGAGAACTGCAGTTATAATCTGGGGTTCCTGAGAAGGCATGCCATCGGAAAGCCAGCTCAGGACCTGGTTTGAGGGGAGGAAAGTGAATCTTCCAGATATGCTGCTCTGTATTACTCCTGAGCCAGAAGCCCCTGCTTGTCATGTGACAGGGCCTTCAGTTGTCCAAGCAACAGCTGAGCTTTGGACTTAGGTCCCATCGTATTTTCCAGCACAGGTCACCCTGGCAAACACTGGTCATCAACATGTGTGTCTTGTACACCACTCCAGCCCAGTGCTCTCTGCTCTACCCCTTACTCAGGAGCTCTAAGGCCAGTTCAAGCAGGCTTTGGGCAGCTTTGATGAGGTGCAGCCTGAAGGGCTTCATTTGGGTCAGCAGTGTTTAGCTTCATGCATTCCATTCAGGGGACAGGATCTTTGTGTGTATAGGAAACAGAGACCCCAGTGTTGTCTTTTTAAATGGGTGATGAGGCAAATGCTCCCCACTTTTCTCCATGCTGCAAGACGGTTTTGAGATGCATCTCCCAGGCTTTCTCAGAGACTCAGGACCCTGCAATTTCTTAGGTGCTGACCAACACAGTAAGCATCCTAGGGCTGGGCCTCCCTCCTTCCCTGTTCTGCATTCCAGCTCCAGGTACGTACAGAACTGTAAAGAAGCTCCGAGCTCAGGCTGTTTCCAGGAAGACCCAGGTTGAGTGTACCAGGCTGGTGCAAATCATGGTCAATATTGGATAGATGCCTATTATATAGCATAGTACGAGTTAAATCTTAACCTTGAACAGTTAGCCTACAGAAGAGTTGCATGCTGGTTTGAGAAGGGGCCATCAAATACTAGGAATAAAGATTATAGTCAGTTGCTATTATTTAAAAAAATCATTGTTTATTAAAACCATCTCATTGCCCAAGGCACTCAGTAGCTTCATAAAACACATTCTTTTTTAAAAAGTAGGTGAAGTGAGTGCGTTAGGAGTACCATGGCAACATAATCAGTAGAGACAATCACACTGAACACAAAACACCTGCCGATGTTACATGGCTGCAGCCAGCAACTCTGAGAGACTGTCAACACAACTTACATTTCTTTCTTGAATTTCCCCATGATTATACATCGTAAAAGGAACAAGTGTAGTGTTATTGTTTGGGCACTCAGAGCAGTGACAGTGGCTAAGGCTGGGAGGTGCAACTGCACTTCCATGGCGGCAACTGTACACCAGCCAGGGTAATGCTGAGCTGAGAAACACTGTTCCCAAGTCTCTGCTGAAGGGTGAATAACTTGAGACACAACAACAGACGACAAACAAAACAATCCCATGACAGTGCTGAGAGAAGGAAGAGGCACTCTGTTACCCATACATGCCCTTCAAGGCACAGGTAAGTGTCTGGTAGCCAGGGATTCTGATTTACACAGCAGTGGAAGCCAAGCCGTGGCCTAAACAGTGGATTTCTCACGGCCCGGACAAGCCCAGGACTCTGACCAGACATACACAGCACAGCTGGCTGTGGGACTGAGTAGTCACCGCCCACACACTGCTGACCTTATGTACCTGCTCCCACCTTCATTCCCTCTAGGGTGCCCTAGGTCTTGTGTTCCTGTTGTGAGTTGAAGCAATCACAGTAAGGAGTTTTGTAACTTAGGAAAGATGAGAAATCAAACTCCCCATGGAATCATTTATCTTCTGAAGAAGTTTTGTTTCCTTCTGGTTCTTCGTATGGAACTCAGGGCCTTGTGCATCCTAACCGAGCAACACCTATTCCTTTTCCCGTGAGTCTGTCAGTTAGGGAGAGGAGGGAAAAACGGACCTGCATCTCTATCTGTGCAACCTTACCCGTCTTACAAAGTTTCGCATAGTCTTCCAAGTCCCACTGATTCAAGAGACTCATTGACTTCTTTGGAATTTTCACTAGAATGGGATGGGCAAGCTGTCTGCAATTAGCCTTGGTGTCCCTGGAGGAAGGTGTCTCTCTGGACAGATGCACCCATCCATGAGTACATTAGACACGACGTCAACAGAACAGAAAAGCCCTTGGTAATTGACAGCGTTTCGGACAACACGCAGGCTGTCTGTTTAGTTTTTCACCTTCGGGAGGAGTGTTAAAAGGCTGTGCTTTTTAGGACTGTTGGGCTTTCTTCACCATCTTTTAGCATCCTTGTCTGGCTTTGGGCTTGCCATTGTTTCATTCTATTAATACAAGGAAAGCAGTGTTACTTACAGATCTTATAAAAATACTTATCAGTTTCAAAACAAACAAGCCAGATATGGAGAAAAACCAAAGACATGGCAGATTCTGAAGTTTCCCGTAGTCTTTGCACTAAACTAGAGTGGCTGCTTTTATGGTCATGCACGTGGACACCTGTTCACACAGGATCAGTGCCTTGCCCTTACAGCACCATGGTTAAAGTAGTCCAGTTATTTGTGAGACAGTCTGCAGGGAGCACTAGTTTGAGGAGCACACCCCAAAGATCTGGTCAGGCCCAGACGAATGCATCCATAGTTCTAGGGGGAAAGACTCTTACCCTTTGACCCTTAGCATCTGGTCGATGGTATCTGGGAGAGGGACACCAAAGCTCTCTGGGAAGAACAAGGTGAGGATAGCTGTGAGGATGGTCAGACTTCCCATAAGGATGTAAGGCAGGAAGCGGTCATAGGCACCTGTGGTCAAGCAGAGGACCCAGGTTACAGTGACACTGGTTTCATTCAGACCTTATATTTCCTTGGGGCTTTATATAGGACTCACCTTACTGTTGGTCTCAGTGTTTCCCAAAGCCTAGACTGCTAGAGTGAAGGCTGGCATCTAGAGAGTCTCAGAACCCAGTCCTGGCACAATGTGCCCAGAGATCCAGCAGTGTCCACAATGGACAGGGAGAGGTACAAGGAAGCAGAGTCACCACGCTGCAGGGTTCCCACGGAACACAAGGTACTTGTCTAGGAGAGGAGCAACTTTCCACCTGTGCAGATGTGTCCCAGTTTGATTTGCATGCCGGTTAGACAAGGGGCTACAGCCCTTTAGAGCCATGTACTAAGCCTTCAGAGTACCTGCTACTCTAGGGACACTGGCAGGTCCTCCCCCGAGCTAGGGATGTGCAGAGGAGCAGCAGTGTCCAGGAAGGAGTCCTGCTATATAATGTCAGAAGGCAGATCTTCACAGGGCATAAACACCCTGTCATGTGTGACAATGAAGACTGTGTGCCACCTATTGGGAGGCCAAGGCAAGAGGAACTAAAATTCAAGGGCTGCTGGGGCCACAGAGCAAGTCCAAGTCCAGCTCACACAACTTAGTGAGCCACGATCTTGAAGAGTAAAATGGAGCCAGGGAGGCGGTTCAGCTTGTAAAAATACTTTCTGCTAAGTTTGGTGGCCTGAGTTTGATCTCCAGGATCCACATGCTTCAAATAAAGAACTAATTTTAAGACTCCCCTAAATTGTCCTCTGATCTCAACATACACACTGAAGAAATGAAGTGTTCTAAGTTACGGCAACTGTCAGTCCATCACTCAGTCCTCTTGGATGGACAGGTTTCTCTCCATGTTCCTAACTCCAAGAAGAAATTCCTCTAGTGAAGTAAACTGACTCCCTAAAGAATTTCTTAGGATGAAGAAATCTAGTTGGTGATGGAGGATCTGGGGAGATCGAAATAGAGACACCAACACTCTCTCAATCCCATCTAGCTGGTCTATGAGCTATCTTCCATTTGAAATGGGTGCCTTCTCCCTACTACACTTGGAAAGCACCTTCTCCATCCAGGGTCCCAGTACGGATGCATCCTGCTGATTATAGGTGCTTGTGTCCAGCTCACATATAAGGTACTTAGAGCTTTTGTCCCATCCATCGCTCCAGTGCTCCATGGTACTTACCAAGGTAAACAAAGTAGGGAGACAGGATGCTGCCAAGGCGGGATGCTGTGGAGCTGACCCCCACACCCATGTTTCTGACCACAGTGGGGTACAGCTCAGCTGTGTACACGTAGACCATGGAATAGGCAGAGGTGATTCCAAACTTGCCCACCATCACCAGGGTAGTAGACAAATAAACTAAGTCTGGAGAGAAAAAGGAATGATAGTAAAGGCAAGAAGGACCAGTGTAAGGGTTGCCCTGAAGGAGTTCTCTTCCCTTTTAGCCTAAAATGAACTTACTTTCTCCCTGACTCAGGGTGGAGAGAGTTGGGTAACTTCTATACCTTCCTATTGGGAGAAAACACCATGGCTTAGATTTGTTTCTAAGGGGATTCCTACAAAGAGACTGGGCACTTTAGCTATATGAGAGTAAATGTGTTCCTCAACCTAGAGGCCCAGACAGTATGTGCCCCTCATCCCAATCTGCCTGCCTTCCAGAAGTCTTCCTGTGTTAGGGATGAGCTGCTTCCGCAGAAGCTCACACTGAGGGCACTGTGGAATTAACCAGGACTTGGATATGCATGGGGGAGTCCAGCTCTAGCTAAGTTCATGCTCACAGTCTACTCAACAAGTTCACAGATCTGGTCTTTGAGGTGCCTCAGCGGGTAATGGCATTTTCAGCCAAGCCTGAGAACTTGTGATTCTCAGGATCCACACAGTGCAAGAGGAGAACTGACTCTTCCCACTTCCTGCGAGCTCTCTTCTCACCTCTACATGTGTGCTGGGAAGCACGTCTCCCTGCTCCCAATAAATAAGTATAACAAAGTCACTGAAAATATCTATAGGCCATCTGAACTTAGGGATGATCGTCCAATCGACTTTACTGTGACCCACAGGTCACTCTGAGCTCAGGTGAGGGCACTGCAGTCACTTTCAGGTTCCTTCTGCCATACACCGGGTTGTTCTGTACAGTCTCACAGTTACCACCACAGGTCCCCCAAACCACAGGGGCATCAAAGATTGTGGCAAGTGATGGACAACAAATAAGGCTTGTCATCTGTTCTCCAGGTTGTTAGAAAAGGTTCCTCCTGTCTATCAGTGGGATATCAAGGCAGTTTTACCAGCACAGTCTTTTCCATAGCCTCCAAGACCTTTCCTCTCTATCTTTTTATGGATTACTAGGTCATTTGCTACCCTGAAGCACACTGGGCTCACCTCCTGCCAGAGCATTGTTTATATTTATTTATTTATAAATAGGGTCTCACGTAACTTAGGTTGGCCTCAGACTCCCCAGACAGTCAAGGATGAGCTTGACCATCTAATTCTCCTGTACCCACCTCCTATGTGCTGGGATTACAGGTGTGAGCCATCTTGCCTAGCTTTCTTTTTCTGTCTCATCTTCCTGGAATGGTCTAACTGACTTTCTTATGGTGTTCTATTACCTCATTTAAATTCCGCTGAATACCTCTTGTTCATGACTTCTCTTTAGAGCTCCATTTCCCTTTCTTTCTACACAGAAGGTAACAACATTTTAAGATTAACAAGCATTTATTAACTTGTTTCTTCTCTACTAGAAAGAGACTCCATCAAGACCTCCTACTGCTTGAATAAATAAATAAGACAGAACTAATAGGATGGCTTTCCTTCTTTCTTTTTATTCTGAGGAAAGCAGATATGAACATGTTAATTTGGGTCTAGGGCATAATGAACCAACAAGCCCAATGCTTTCTTCACACTGCACACAGCCCAGGCCATGAAGGACCCCCTCCTGTTTTTGTGAAGTGGTGAAGTGTCATCTCTTGATTTTTTTTTTTTTTTTTTTTGGTTTTTCGAGACAGGGTTTCTCTGTGGTTTTGGAGCCTGTCCTGGAACTAGCTCTTGTAGACCAGGCTGGTCTCGAACTCACAGAGATACGCCTGCCTCTGCCTCCCAAGTGCTGGGATTAAAGGCGTGCGCCACCACCGCCCGGCTTCATCTCTTGATTTTTAAGACAGCAATGCATTCATGAGGCATGTATGTGATGGGCCTGACTGCATTCTTTTTGTAAACAGCCTGGTTCAAAGCAACTGACATAAGGAAAACGCAGGTCTGCAAATAAACACCATCCATACCTGAGGGCACCAGCTGCATGAAGAGAAGTACACCGCCACCCAGGAAGAGGGCAGCAGAGATGGAATATCTCCGGGGCAAGTACTGCAGCAACAGCCAGGCCAACACGTAGGCTGGGACTTCAACAGCTGCCGAAAGGAAGCTGTTCATATAGATGTTTCCATGCAAGTTAGGAGTGTCAAGAGAAAGTCCGAAATAGCCCACTGATATGGTCAGCCTGCAACAGGTACAGAAGAGAGCTGGAGAAGTGGCACCCACCTCTCCAGATCCATATACGTTGAAAAAAATTCGTCTTGACAAGTTCTGAACTGTTCCTGATGCAGGGAATAGGAGGGTAGTAGTAGATTTTATCTTGTGCCTTACTTCCTAGCACAGCTAACTTTCTCTAGCCCCAGAGACCAGTGTAAATCTTTTGTTGGTACACCTTCAGAACATTCCATAAAGAAGTGTCTCATCAAAAGAGCTTACATGATTCACATTGACTTCATCATCAGGGGAAAGGTCCCAACCTGTATTTCAACATTAAAATTCTACTCTGAAGTGAAACGACAATTCCCTGCTCTACATGCTTCTCCAAACACAGCAAATGTACGAGGAGCTAGAGAATGAGCAGCGGACTAGGTAAGGGGTGACAGACCTGAAGGAGAAGGCCCTTAGCAAACTATCTGTAGTCAGCCAGGAAGAGGCTGACAGCAACCCCACTGTTCTCTGGAACAGGGAGCTCCCAAAGGTGAGGCCTCACTGTCTTTCATTTACACCACTCCCGTGTCTGGCTCTGATCCCAATAGGTTTCTCTGTTGATGAGCTGTACTCTTTGGCACCAGACTGTCTTTGACTCATGTACAGGCTGAGAACATAGTTGGCACGGTAAAGAAAGACTCATATGCCCCAGCAAACTTTAGAGCATGATTAGAGTGTGAGCGATTCAGAGTAGGTGAGAGGTCTCAGGCTGGAAGTCTGAGGTAGTCTTCATGGATTCAGGATGCCATTGAGGCATCGTGGACAATTCCTTGGAAATGGGTGACTCAAAGACCAACCTTACCCCAAACTAAGACGCAAACTAGTTTACTGGTCCAAAGCTGGCTGAGTCCATCAGTAAGGTCTCTGCGGTGAAGTCTCCCCTCCTCACTATCTCATCACACTCATTCAGTATATCTGAGGATCTCTGATATCCCAAGTGGTTGGCAGGAGCTATGCCGGCACTCAGCCTTGTACTTCTCCCTGGTAATTCAGAGATTCCTTCCAATAACTGTCACACCTTGTCAGAAGAAACCTGCAGGAAACATCCAGGCCATGGTCTTGGCTTTAGGACAGTCTATGAACATCCCAGAAGGGCCATATGCCACTTTCATGTTTCCAGAAAGCTCTTAGCAGCCCCTGGAACCTAAAGGATAAACCTTCAAACCCCCAACAGTCCCAGCCAGAGTGTGGGCCATCAACAGAGAACACTTTTAAGAGGAAAGAGCCAGGCATGGGGATGTGCAGGGTGCATGTGCAAATGACAGACACTGTGGCCCCACTGTAGGAGAGCTCCCTCTGTCTCCATGAGCATAGCAGAGTTGCTGACAGTCTCTTCCTGCCTATTTACCACACAGAATCTACTGAGGGAGGGGACAAGGGACAGGAACAGCTAAGCAAGGACCTGTGGGATTCCCTTGTGGGATCCCTAGATCCTAACATTTTCTCCTGATCACTTTCTCCTTTCCTGGGCTTCCACTACAAAAGAACTGTTATGTCCCTGTGGCTGCCATCCATCACAAGGACAACCTTGCATCATGTGAGGACAGAGGTTTCAGCTTCGGTCTAAGCATGCCTGTAGACAAAGAGTTCTGAGAGTGGGGAAGGCTCAGGCAGGTCTCACTTACGCACCACAGGATTATGGACATGATGGTGAGGATCCTGATATTCCGGGTTCGGATCAGATCATAAATGTGGTGTGACTGAGGTGTCTTGGTATTTAGGTCTTGTAACTGCAGAAAGAGTAACAGTTAATGGTATAGAAGGAGAAAAAGTCGGGAGACTTGGAACCCATCATTTACACCATCTACTTTTCAAGAGTGAGGAGCATCCTAACGCTCTTTGAAAAGACAGAAGCACAGTGACTCAAGGGAGATGTCCAAGGGCCCGCAGGCTTAGTCAATGACAAACTGGAGTAAAAGAGAACGGGGTTTTGAAAAGAGAGGAGCACAGCAAAGGCAGAGGTGCAACGTGACAGCCACCTCACTGGATTACCCTGCCCATCACCCTCACGGCTGCCTCTCAGGGAGGCCTTTGAGGTTTTCTATGCAAGGCATAGAAACTGTTATCTCAGTCAAAGAAAAAAAAAAGGACTGTATTTTTACCAAACTGATATTTAAGTGGAATGAATGTTTTGAGTCCTCATACTGTGTTGTTATTGGTCTACTTCCAGGAGAAAAAAATATTCAAATTGAAAACAGGAAAACTGACCCACCCTTAACCCAGAGTAACTTCCTATGAGATTCTGCAGAGCCAAAGCCATGACTAACCACGTGTCTTAACACACTGATGCTCTTTCTTAGCTAACCTAGCTTGATTTTACAAACTCAGCAGTTCAGTGAAAGGTCAACTTGAGGCTCAAAGAAATCCTGAAACAGTCCAGTTTCCTCAGTGATGCCAATGAGGCTAGAGGGTTCACCCAGACTGACCTCACTTAAAATGCCCTCAGCCCTGACTTCTGTGCTTCAGAGGCCTTCTAAAGCACGCTGAGTGACTGCCACTGCCAGGCCATCACTTAAGGGAGACGCCAGCAGGGCTGTTGGTGGTCAACAGCCTCTCAGTTGCTTATAACAACTGCTTCCTCTCTCAAAAGCCCCAAGTCTTCATCGTGAGCCCAGAGCATCTCAAACATGCCTGAGGCTCACCCTTCAGCATTGCTATGGGCAGTGGTCCTTCAGCCAGTCCCTTGTCTTCTCAAACCAGAAACATACCAAGTCCCATGTCTGCCAACATCTACAGTGCCTATCATAAATCTGAAGAAACTGCCTGCTATAAAGAAGGCAGGAAAGGGAATAAGAAGCAAGAACCAGGGACCATGCAAAACCAAAAAAGTTACTCAGAGTACCTAAGAACAGGGAAGAGGTGGTCATCAGAAAGACTCTGGCTCCTGGACGATGGGTAACTGAGAGTAAAAGAGACAGAACACTGCTGAATGCAAATCTAACAGTGTTCCAATAATCTCCAGATGGCAGCCCCTGAGGCGTAAAAAACAAAGACATCCAAAAATGCTGAAGTTGATAAAAACCTCTTTCCCATGAAAGGTCTTTACTGCTAAAAGCAATAATTAAGCTAGCTACAGCAGCGTGTCCCTTTCATCGCAAAACTTGGGAGGCAGAGACAGTTAGATCTTTGTGAGTTTGAGGCCAGCCTAGTCTACACAGAGATTTCTAGATTAGCTAGGGTTACACAGTGAGACTCTTAGAAAAAAAAGGGAAGAAAAAGAAATGGTTAAAAAAAATGATACTTGGAAAGAAGTAAAAGAAGCATGGGTGGGGGGACGTCCATGGAGAAGAATTAGGTAGCTAGACCCCATTCCTCATCCTCTGAGGCTTGTGTGTACACATGTTCAACACATGTTCATGGGTGTACCTGTGTATGGACCACAGGAATGTGTGTGTGTGTCGGCTAGAGGTTGACTTAGGGTGTCATCCTCAATCACTTTCCTACCTTACACTACAGACAGGATCTCTCCTTGACTGGTTAGCTGGCTGGACCAGTCAGTCCTGATTAAGTCCCTGGAATCCTTCTGCCCCTGCTTCCCCAGTGTTGGGATTACAGGTACACTCTGCCATGCCTGGCCTTTTGGTTGGTTGCTGGGATCTGAACCGAGGTTCTCATACTTATGTGGCAGACACTTTACAGACTGAATCATCTCTCTATGCCTTTAACTTCTGCATTTCAACAGACCTTGCTCTAGGGATGGCTGGGGTTTGGGTAGAGTAAGGGCTGAGCTCCCATGAGCTGTGCTGTATGGTGCTGACCTAAAATGGCCAGAGTGAGTCTTCCCACCACCTTCCACACAAACTTACCTCATTTGGATCAAAGATAGGGGAAGGTGCAACAATTCCATTGATTTTGGCAGCTCTGCGGATGATCACCTCTGCCTCTTTAATTCGGCCTTGAGAGATGAGCCATCGGGGGGACTCAGGAATAAACCTGAAAGTTAAAGTGCATTCTAGTGATGCCTCCAGTCGCGTGCTTTCCCAGAGGCTGGGCATGCTTGACTAGAGACGGGAAATGAGGTTTCAGGTGCAGAGGGAGTGTGTGGAGTATCAGGTGTTTTCATAAGCCAGAAAATAGAGATGGGCCAGCACTCCCTAAGCTATGAGTTCTGCTGAACACTGACTATGTGAGGAAAATTCATCCTGCACATCCCAAGGGGATCTCCACTCTGGCTGGCACCTGCCTGTCTGCAGCAGTGCTGCCCCCTTGAGGGCTTTAAGGAGACAAGCACAGGATGGGCTCCTGGTGCAGAGAGTTAGGCACAGCCAGATCCTGCCATCTTCTACTCTGTCCCCGACATCCACAGAAACTTGCAGCGATCACTTGACATCATTTCTTCCTCAGTCCACCTCTGATTTTGGACTCGTCAGTCTCTTTCCACAAAGCAGCATGGGTATCAAGGCTGGAGTCTTACTGGATATTTTCCTTGTCCCCAGGCAGCCCTCTCTCCGCTGTCATAATCAGGAGCCATAATGCACTATTTTTTCTTCCCCCACTAGTCTCCAGGGTGCTCACCACTGTACATGGATGAGGATCTCACCTTAGTCCAATCTAGTGTAAGGAGTGATTCCTGCCTGGTTCCTCTGTCAAGTTCCATGGCTTATTTCTGAGGCCTATGCTCTGCCTGATCAATGGCCCTCTGTTGGAAGTGTAGCTGGAGCCTGCATTCCTCTGCAGAGCCACTCAAGGAAGCTCACTTCTGAAGCCCTCCCTTTCTTTACCTCCCGACACCCATGCCTGGAGCCACAGCATCAAGCATCTACAGCCCAGGTCTTGCTGTCTTGTACGGGGATCTGAGAATTCCCCAGAGGTTAGGTTGGCCCCTATCTGCATGCAGCAAATTCTTAGTTCAGCCTAGAACAGGGCACAGGACTAGCAGGCTTTTCTGAGTATGGAGAGACTTTCTGACCTGATTTATAAATAATATTCACTAGGTTTTTCTGGGATCTGGAATTGGGGTTTGTGAACTACTGCTGCCCTCTACTGGACATGAGACAGAAGCCTCCCCAAAGGCAGTCGGCCCAAGGGGCGGGGCCACACTTACCACCAGAGAAGCCCACACAACACCCCTGGCACAGTGAGTGCCAGCAGCAGCATCCGCCAGTCTCTGATGAAGTATGCAAAAAGAGGCAGCACCATGTAGCCAAATGCATAAAATATGCACACTCCTAAGGTGGCGAATATAATTCGAATTGACTTGGAGAGAATTTCTGTTCCTGTTCAAAACAAGGGAGGAGTAAAGTTAATCATTAATTGGGGTTATTTTCTTATGATTTTTCTGTGGTATCATTTTCAGTGTAGAGACAAGGAGGGAGCCAGAGTTAGCTGTGTTCTGAGGCCCTGGGAAGGGTTGCATCTGAACTAAGTCTTCTTTGATTTGCTCCTGAGTGTTTCTCTGAGGTCCCTGGGCAACAGTGCTCTCATGAAAACATCATCATCATCATCCCCAGCCACACATGCTAACTATTATCCTTCGAGGAAAATAGGATGTTCTAGGAAATGTGAAAAGAAAGTAATAATGCTTTCCACAATACAACCTAAGGAACCCAATGATCTGATTGCTTCAGCAAGGCTCTTCCAAACAGGGAGACCAGAAGCTTTCCAGTGGGAACAAGGTGGCTTGTCTGAGTCAGAGCCTTGAAGGGTGGACTCTGACAGAACCTTAACTGGACCTCTCAGCTCACTGTCCTTAGCAGACACTGACAGCCACCAATGCTCTTTGGCATCTCCCTTTCCTGGGGAGCCCGCCCTTCATGCCCCCCCCCTGCTGGTGTGCCTCCTTCTTTCCTTAGCTACCTAGGCCCTTGCCTTGCAAGTCTTTAAGAATGGATGCCCCGTGGTGAATCCTAGTTAATGGCTTAAGTACTAATAAGGCCAAGGGGCCACAAGTCAGAGGCCAGAAGAGAACTGGACATCAGAAGTCAGAAACCATTGTCAGGCTCAATTTCCCAGCAGGTAAGCTAGTTTTCCCTGAGGGACATAACAACTTGTCTCCAGAAAAGTGAAACACAGTATCAATTACTCAACTCCAACCTGATGTCCATACCCAGGACAAATGCTGCCACGTAGTTGGAGATCTGACCCATGCCAACAAGGACAAAGAGCACAGTAAACATCTCGAAGTTCACAGAGAAAACCTGCAGGAAGCTGAAGCCAGTCTGCATGGCCATGGTCAAAAACAGCACATTCTTCCGACCAAACCTGGGGAGGAGAGGAAGGTCACAGAGAAGCAGTTGGTAGAGGCAGCAGCAACTGGATCCACTGAGAGGGGCTTTCTCCTGTCACAAGGATTGGTATCAGGGTAGTCCTACCCTCTCTGTCCCCATGCTGTCACTGAATTCCACACTTTCCAGGATTCATTTGTAGCCTGGACACTCAGGCTGCTCCAATAGCAGCACCACAATGATGCTAATGACTGCAGGGGATGGGAAGGCATTTGTTTTGTTTAAATTCATGTCATTATAATGAATCTTAAAGAAAGAAAAGTCGTAATTCATGGTAAATGAAGACTGATCATTTATCCTGACTTCTCTTTGTCTGTGACATGAATAACCAGAAAAAGGTGGTGGTGAGTGGAGAATTGTTTATAAAAATGCTGTAAACAAAGAGAAAAAAAGTGCCGTGAAGTGACATGGGTACTATGTGTGAATGACTGACAACCTCATGATGCTGTCCTATAATCCTGCCAGAGGGACTAACCCTTATCCAAGTCTCTGAATGCCCTGCCTATCTGCAAAAAAAGCAGAAGACAAAGGGAGAGGTTTAGGGAATATATGATCACTCAGACCTAGACAGGGTAATTCTACAATGGATCAACATCATGGCTCTTCAATAGATAAACCTCATGGCAAAGAAAAGGATAAAGGGAAAAAACAGAATAACTAGAAGATATACTCAATTCAAACGTAATTTTATTATTCTATGTGCTTGTGTGTGTGCCTGGGGCCTGATGTACATGCATCCCGAGTACAGGTAGAGGTCAGAAGAGGGTATCAGATCTCCTGGGTCTAGAGTTACAGATCGTTGTAAGCTGCCATATGTGGGCTGGGACTTGAATCCATGTCCTTTGGAAGAACAGTCAATGCACTTAACTGCTTGGCTATCTCTATAGCCCTAAGATATACTAAAGTTTGCAAATGGAGAAGGCAAAACTTGTATTTAAGAGTGTACATTAGGGGCCTGGTGTGGTGGCAAATGCCTTCAATCCTAGCACTCAAGACATTTGAGAGAAAAGGCATGTGGATCTGTATGGTTCTAAGCCAGCCAGGGTTACAGAGTAAGAACACTTTTTTTTGAGACAGGGTTTAAAGAAATTTTTGAGAAAAAAATATCCTCCCCCAAAGAAATCACACAAAAAAGGAGTTTGAGTACTAAAACTGAAAGACAAAAATCCTAAACTCCATAATCTTGAATGCTGAAACTCTGAAAGATCTAAAATTTCAAAATTCTAAAAACAGACTTTTTTTTTTGAAAAATTAACTTTATTTTGTATGTATAGGTATTTTTACCTGCATGTGTGTCTGTGTGCCGCGTGTATGCCTGGTGCCAGAGGCTTAGAAGAAAGTGCCAGATACCTTGGGACTGGAGTTACAGATGCTTGTGAGTTCTATGTGGGTTCTGGGAATCAAACCCAATTCCTCTAGAAGACCAGCCAGTACTCTCAATGTCTGAATTGCCTCTCCAGTCCCCAATCTAACTCTTGATGAGACAAAAAACAAAAAAACAAAAAAAAAAACAAAAACAAAAACAAAAAACAACAACAAAAAAAACCCCTCAAACAAAAAACCCTGCATGGGTCACCCAAGGAGCTGAGATATGGAACAATTTTTATCTTTCCTAAGTGCAGATGTACAAAAAGTACATCTCTTCATTTAAAGAGGAAGTTTCAACAGATCAGCACAAAATCAATGCTGGAATAATGTATCTTCATGGAACCAAATTTTCCTGAAATACACAAAATGAAAATACCATCTAAATCCCAAGAACTGGAAATGATGCAAATATGAAAAGCATAATGAATTACAGATAATGATACTGGTAATTCAAAATAATGAGAGGAGATGAGCATAGTTCAGTGGCAGAGGGCATGCCTAGCAAGCACCAGGACCTGGATTCAACTTCCAGCACAAATGAAAAAAAAAAAAACAACTACAAAAACAACCCAACATACAAAACCGTTTATTACAGGGACAGATTATGGGCAACTGCATGAAGGCGGTCAGAGGAGCAGCAGACTTGCATCAGTATCTACAGTGCAGACTGCTGTCTTTCTTAGATTAGCATGCTTCTGTTTTCTTTTGGTCATGGTTCTTTTTGGAGAATACATTCACCCACACTGTCTCCTCAGTCCATGTAGACTTGCACACTATGGGAAACACCCTCAGATACACCTGAAACAAAGCTTTATCAGGTTTCTAGGTGTCCATCTGCCTACTGTGTTGTAGTTATCCTGAGTATCATATGCATATGTGTGTGTGTGTTTTCATGTGCACATGTGTGTATGTATATGCATGTAGAGACCAGAGGTCAATCTCAGTGTTATTATTCAGAGCTGTCTGCCTCATTTTAAGACAGGGTTTCTCACTGGCATCTAGAACTCACCCATTAGCTTAGGGTGGCTAGAAAATAAGCTCCTGCCCTTCCATCCCTTGGATTATAAAGCAAAGCCACCCAGCTGTTTACATGGAGGTGGTTCTTCTATAACCTTATTCAATGGAAGCTTTTTTTTCCCACTTATATATGGATATGTTTATTATTATAAGTGATCAGTTTATTAGGAGATTATTCAGTATACGGTATTAGGACCATTATTTTAGTAAAACAGAGGTAAATTTTGATCGTACATTTAGAATCAAATAACACTGGATATTGGATATACAATGTAAAAGATGTCAAATATTCTAAGTGAAAAACATTGGAATCTCCACACTTAGGAGACAGAGGCAGGAGAATCACTATGAATTGGAGGCCAGTCTGGTGTACATAGAAAGTTCCAGGGCAGCCAAGGCTACATAAAGAGACTCTGCCTCAAAAAAAAAAAAAAAAGCTGGGTGGTGGTGGTGCATGCCTTTAATCCCAGCACTTGGGAGGCAGAGGCAGGCGGATCTCTGTGAGTTTGAGACCAGCCAGGTCTACAAGAGCTAGTTCCAGGACAGGCTCCAAAACCACAGAGAAACCCTGTCTCGAAAAAAAAAAATTATTATCTTCATTTTAAATTGAGAGAAAGCATCACTATTCAGAGTCCAAATCAGAGGTCTTATTATATCATAATGAAAGAGTTCTATATGGAGAAGTTATACAAATTAAGATTGAGCCTCCAATTTTTACCTAGATAAACCATTTAAGAGGAGGCTTTCTATCATATCATCAGCAACAGCACTCATTATGACAATGTAGGAAGCCCCGAAACAGGTCCATAAGAGTTTACACAGTGCACCTGTTGAACTCAATGGAAGCTTTTTTGCATGTATGTTTGTGGGGTAGGGGATACGTACATGTGTCAGTACAGGTGCTCATAGAGACCAGAAAATGAGATCCCCCACAGCTGGAGCTGGAGACAGCTGGGAGCTGCCTAATGTGGGAACTGGGAATAGAACACAGGGCTCTGCAAGAGCAGTGAGCACTCACTGCTGAGTGCGTCTCCAGCCTGGAAGTGGTTACTCACGGGTGCTAACTTGGGTGGGGCAGACACTGGATGGGCTTCTGAGGCACAAAGTTCTACTGCTTGACTTGCTGGTAGTTGTCAGGCCACTCCATTGTGGTTGAACTGTGACAATGACAGAATCTAAAGTAATTTGGCTTCCAGAACTAAAGTAAACTTGTTTTTCTAGGTTCTCACCCTCCCCATCCTTAAAGACTCCCAGTCATGACCCATAAAGGGAGATGTTGATCCATTGCCCACATTCTGATTATTCCCAGCAACAATCAACTATGAGCTAAAAAGGAAACTTTTCTTTTTTTCTTTCTTTTCCTTTGTTTTTTTTTTTTTTTTTTTTTTTTTTTTTTGAGAAAGTGTTTCTCTAAGTAGCCCTGGTCACTTTGTAGATCAGGCTGGCCTCAAACTTGGAGATCTGCCCGCCTCTGCCTCCCAAGCGCTGGGATTGAAGGTGTGCACCACCACTGCCGGGCTAAAACGAAATTTTTTCAATCTCCTTACCACACCCCTTGCTATGAAAAGTGTAGAAGAGACTGCCACTATGCACGCGGGCCTGAACTCTTTTCCAAATTTCTGCCATGTTAATAACTACTTTAATAAATCTCCTACTCCAAAAGAACAATCTACCTCAATCATTTCCCACCTTGACCTACAAATGCAAAACCTTTCGGTTTACTTCCTGGAATAATTCATCAAGCCACACAATTATTCTATGACACTTTCTGTATCTTACTTTAAAAAACAAACTTATAGCCAGGTGGTGGTGGCACACACCTTTAAGGCCAGTAATTAGAAGGCAGAGACAGGCGGATCTCTGTGAGTTGAGGCCTGGTCTACAAAATCAAGTTCTAGGACAGCTAGGGCTACACAGAAAAACCCTCTCTTGAAAAAAAAAAAAACAAAACAAAAAAACAAGAACTAAACAAAACAAAACAAAAACCTGAAACCAACCAACCTAACAAACAAACAAGTGTGTTTGTTGGTTTACTGCTGCTAAAGTGGGTTCAAAAAAGGAAGGAACAAGTCAATCTGGGGAAAGCAGCAGATTCTGCTTTAATCTGGTCTGAGCTGGCTCATACCATGTGCATTCAATGAATGCTTACTTTCTAATATTAGGACTGGGAATATTTCTGCTTTAAAAGAATGCCACCTCTGCCCTCAAGAAGCTACTGTCTTATTGGTGAGACAATATCAATCACACTTTAATCAACTATGCTATAAGACACACCATTACACACTGAGACAAGGGCATAAAAGGAATGGCCCCCAGGTCCACGGAGACACAACAAAGGAACTCAGACTCTAAGGGTAGAGATTGGGCATCCTGAGATGATCTCTCTGACAATAGGGCACTGGCGAGATCCAAAGGAAAAGAAACTGCTGGTAGAGGGGGAGCATTCAGTCTAGGCAATGCTTCCCAACCTTCCTAAGGCTGATACGCTTTAATACAGTTTTTCATGTTGTGGTGACCCTCAACCATAAAATTATTTTTGTTGCTACTTCATAATGGTAATTTTGTCACTATTATGAATCATAACATAAATAT